TACTGTTAAAGGCTTTCAAAGAGCGACTGACAAATTCATAACAGAAAGTGGAAAATGTAATCAAATATGTCGGTGCTAGATATGGCAAGAAATGTAAACATTTTTTTTCGATTTCTCTGAAACGGAGCAAAAACGAGCATATGTCTATAGGACTTTTTTTCTTAGTTTTTTACTCCTCTACACGCTCCCGAAGTTTTGCCATTTAATTTGGAAACACCCTGTATTTAAGGTGCGTTCGGGGAGTCGCTATTAGCGCTATTTCTGTCATTCTATCCTTGTTTTACGTCTAATAAACAACAAAGATAGAATGATAGAGTAGCGCTAATAGCGCCTCCCCGAACGCACCACTAGAGAAGCTCTAGGAGAGAGAATCGCCAACTTGGTCACGTGACCTGCTACTCCGTGATTGGCTGGCATCGATACGTGCGGATTTGGACATTGCGACGCCAATGCGTCAGAACGGATATTGTGACAGATATGAGATTGATGATCGTTGATTACAATAGCAATTGTGTTTTTCTAAAGTAATATTATACATTTGAATTTGTTATTTTGACGAAGTTTATTATTAGGAGAAATTATAAATAAACTCTTATTTACAATTTCTCCTAATATCAGAGATGTACATTTAGGCGTTGAAATTATATATGTTTATTGTTAGTTCGTGGGTGATTATTTGGTGATATAAACTTCGTCAAAATAACAAATTCAAGTGTAATATTACTCTAGAAAAACACAATTGCTATTGTAATCAACAATCACTAATCTCATATCTCACAATATCCATTCTGACGTCAACGCATTGGCGTCGCAATGCCCAAATCCGCACGTATGATGCCAGCCAATCACGGAGTAGCAGGTCACGTGATCAAGTTGGCGATTCTCTCTCCTAGAACTTCTCTAGTCACGTTCCACATGGTTTTTTTGCGCACGCCAGTCGCAAACGTCAGGTCACAATAAGGGTTTGACTAACAAGTGAGGGGATTTCTGGAGCGGCGAGCACGGACGCGACGACGAGAACGTTCACGAGTAGCGCAACGAGATGAGCAAAAAGCGGAACAGGCAACCAGACGCGAATCCCGACGTCAGTGAGGCCTCCACAGAGTCCTGTGAGGAGACGAGCTCAGGTTAGAAATGTGTACCTCCTAGAGTTTCTGATATCTACGAAATTATCTCGGACTGTCGAGCTTCCTTATCTTTGAATTTTTAACTTTTTGTGTTCACTCCGGTTTCTTTTCCCCCCCCCCCCCCTAGGGATATATCTTTGAATTCTCAAAATAGAATTAGTAGCAAATCGAGCAACATAGAAATTTAGCAACACAAAGCAATACAAATGTAGATATTTCAAAGTCGAGAG